CACGTTGCTATGTATATTATTAATGTATATATTGTTCGTAATATATACTTGTGAACACATAATAGTAAGAAGCAAAATGTGGATTTTCAATTCGATTACTATCTTAAAACGTTAAAACATACATGTTTTGGACCATCAATTCTAAAAAAAATCTCGTATATTTTTAAAATCCAAAAAACCAAGAAGGGAATCCAAACAAGTAACTACGCATCAATATTTATCAACCAAGAAAATGTGTTTTTCTCCATTTTTCTTTTTGTTTTTGGATAATTGTTTGGTTGTGTCCATCGTGGTTTCAATGTATAGGAAACACTCGTCACCATGCATGTCAATCTCTCATTACTATATAAACTCCTCAAAAAGAAACACATTCAACAACAACAACAAATTAAAATGGCGATCAACAAACTAACCATTACACTTCTCCTCCTCATCTCCACAGCTTTCTTCCACTGCTTGGCCTTCCGCGTGGAGGTCGAAGAGTTCGAGCCACCGCAGCAAGAGGAACAAGAAGGTCCCGAGTTCCGTCCTGGCGGTGGTCCTAGCGGCGGTGGTTCCGGTAGGGGATGGGAGGAAGAGTCGACGGAGAATCCGTACCACTTTGGGAAACGGAGTTTCAAGAATGTTTTTCAGTCAAAGGAAGGTTTTGTGAAATTGTTGCCTAAGTTCACTAAACGCTCATCGACTCTCTTCCGTGGAATCGAAAACTACAGATTCTCGTTCATGGAAATGGAGCCTTCCACTTTCCTTGTCCCTCACCATTGGGATGCCGATTCCGTCTTTCTAGTCCTTCAAGGTTAATTCTCTTTTTTCTTTCTTGCAACATTTATATTGTCTATAATAGACTAATCCAAATAATCGACCAAAACGAAAGAAAAAAGTAGTCTACAACTTAAGTACATCCATCTCTCACTACTCGACTCATCAAATATAATATTACTAATTTAATACTATAATTTAACTTACATAAAGTTGAAAAAATGTGAGCTAATCATGTGAAGATAATTGTTACTTGAGTCTTTCAAAAAAGAAAGAAATTCTCATTCCTACTTTTTGTTATTATTATTTTCTTTCAACGCGAAACACTCATTTTAAAAAACTCCCAGTGGAGATGTTCAAGTAACCACAAAAAAAAAAATGTGAATACAATTTGATTAAACCCCAAATATTAACCAAATCATTGATATATAATAGGTTTTACTTTGTGTACTATTAATCATATACCGAAAAATTTGGAATTTAGGGAAGGGAGTGATTGCGTTTGTGACGGATCAGACAAAGGAATCCTTTAACATAAGGAAAGGTGATGTGGTGAGAGTACCTTCAGGAGTCACACACTTCCTCACCAACACTAACGACACCGTTCCTCTCCGCATCGCCAAGATCCTTTTCCCTGTCAACATTCCCGGCCGGTTCGAGGTCCATTTATCAATCTTATTTCATTTTTTTTTCACCATTCAATTAAATATTAATCAACGTTGGGTTATTAATCACAGGATTTCTTCCCTGCTCGATCCCAGTTTTATCAATCCTACTTCACTGGCTTTAGCAGACAAGTCCTCTCTGCCAGTTTCAACGTAAGCCTTCTTAATTTGTCTTTTAATTCTCAACATATGAGCCTAGAAGAATAGGTCACTAGTTCGGGAAGGGATTTCAAATATTTTGGATATGTTAGGTACTTTAGAGTAATTGAGGAAAATTTCGAAATATATTTTTTTGGTAATCCGTTAGAAAAGAGACGGAATCTTGTTATAACCAAGATTTTTTTTATATTGATTAAATTTTATAGATACCGGAAGAATTGCTAGAGAGACTGATTACAAGATCACAACAAGTGGGACAAGGGATTATTCGGAGAGTTTCTCCCGACCAGATCGAGGAACTTAGCAAAGAGGCTACTTCTCCTTCAA